CGCCTCACGCGCGGCGCTGCGTGCTCGCGACTCCCGCGGGTCCTGTCGCTGTCTTGCGCGGGAATCCGCGTTCCCGGGCTGCCGGCGCCCCGCAGGCCGGGTCCGGCGGGGGTGACCCTCCACCCCGAGGCCTGGAAGTCCGCCTGCGCCTTGAGCTTGAGCCTTGGGCTTGAGAAGGAAACCAACTGCATGGGCTGAGAACTGCACCGAGCTCTTACTGGGAACGAATCCTCGGGAGCAGGCCCAGTGCCGCGCTCCCGCACACAGCCCGCCTTCACCCTGCCTTCCCCGAGTCGTAACAGGAGTAGTGAGAGCGATGACATCGGTCCCAGGTAGAGTAGCGTTTGGATAGCCATCCATTAAAGTGACACACGGATGCCACCAGCAGATGCTATTTAAAAATAAAAACATGGCCTGACACAGGAAGGACGGGGAAAACCTGGAGGACTTTGTATCCCTGCCCTGAATGACAATTTCTTACTCGCTATGACCTCAAAATGCAATGCCTCTTGCTAGCTTCCAAGGTAAATATTGTGTGTTCGTTGCACAGGCACATGAAATCATATAGATAGGTCTAAGTGCACACTTTTGACCAACTAACCCAAGAAAGGTAACTATTGGCCATGACAAAGTTATACCGCTTTTTTTCCTCTAATTCCTGGCTCACAATGTATACACATGTACATTATGCTCTGAGTTTGATATATTGTAGTCAGGCAACATTTAAACGAGCCCTTCCTGGGTGGAGACAGATCAGATCTGCTTTTCTGTTTAGTTAAAAATGTGGCCTTGGGCAAATTACTTGCTTTAAATTCCCGACTGTAAACACCTAATGAATGAAGTGCTTAGATCAGTGCCTATTCTTTAGTAGCTCACATAAAAAACATTTAGTTCGATTGGTATCTAGATTTAGATCAGACAAAACCCAAAGAGGAGAGACTTAAACAAAGATTGAAAGTGTGCATTTCATTCACACTTCAGAAGAAATTGCACATCAGAGAAGGGTTGGCTAAATCTGTTGAAAAAGCAATGTGTGAGCATTAGCATTCAAAGCACATTTTTTTTTTGGGGGGGTAAGCCTCAGGGAGAAACTAGAACTTTAAAGTAGTAGTGTATTGATGTGATTAAATAAATATTTGGGAAACCCCAGGAGTATAGTAGGGTGCTTTAGGGAAAAAGTAAAGGATAGAAAGATTGTTATAAAAACATAAACAAGGGCTGGGAAGGTGGCTCAGTGTAGAGCACTTGCCTTGCACGAGTTCGATTCCTCAGCACCACATAAGCAAAAAGAAAAAAGCCGGAAGTGGCGCTATGGCTCAAGTGGTAGAGCGCTAGCCTTGAGCTGAAGAGCTGAGGGACAGCGCCCAGGCCCGGAGTTCAGGCCCCACCACCAGACCCAAAATGAATAAATAAATAAATGAACCATAAGCAATTGTGTCGATTTGGGCAAAATTACTGTTAGTGATAGAGATTAGTGATGAGAGGAAAGGATATATATTCTAGAGTATTGTAGACAATCTAGCTTTAACAATTCATGGGTCATTTATATGATAGGAATGTGAAATGTTCACAATTATTCTCAAGTCTTTAGGAGACTTTAATGGATGCGTTGAGTAAATAGTGCTTTAACAAAACTAGAAAAGGAAGGAAATTGGGGAAATGCAGTGAGATACACTTGAGCCCTGTTTCACTTGAAATACATCTGAAATATACTTAGATGAGGAGGTCTGACAGTTGGAAACAGAAGTTTGAGATATGAACAAGAAATAGCAACTATCTTAGTCAAGACCTTCTGTACTCCTGTGCAATTTATCCTTCTGGTGAGGTTTGATGAAGTCAAATCTCAAAGAGGAGTAGCACGAGGAAATCTTCTAGGTAATATTCTATATTATGACCTAAGCAATAGCAGTAAGTATATATTTGCAGTGGATATATGTTTTATTCATTCACTTTTTATATATTAAAGTTTACGTATGCCTATAATCACATTATTATATAGATGTCCTTTTTAGAGAAGAGTGAATTTGTAATTTAATGAAAACATAAATCTTGTCCAGGGCCTCATTGTTAATATGTATAGAGATATTACAAAGAAAGACCCAAAAGCTCTTTCAGAGCTCCCCCTTTAAGAGACCAATTAAGCAGAAAGTCCTGTGTGAAAATTAGATCTGGTCAAATGTAAAGAAAAGCTAACCTCAAAACCTGTAGGTTATGCAGTTAAGATTATTGATGAAAGATTAGTGGTTCTGTTTGGAAGATATGATGATGTATATTCATGCATATGTATGGATCTATGCAAGTATCTTTTGTCTATGAACATATGTAAGTATGGATGTGTTTGCATGAACATCTGTGCTATGTGTGTAAATGTTTTTACCTAGATCTGTACAAGAAGAGTAAGGAAACATACCGTCTAAATTATAAAAGGTTTCATGGAAGGGTATAGGCTTTGAGTCCTACAATCTTGAGCTGTTCTAATAAAGTTTTCTGTTATTCTACATAACAATGTAAACAGAAAGTCTAATCAAGGCCAATACTTGATGTTATTGCTGTGAATAGAGGGAGCTTGATTCCTTTTTATCTTTTCTGGGATCAGTTCCAATCCATATAGTGATTAAGATGGTGATTCTGAATATAGCCTAGTTTGGAATCAATCAATCCAGCCCTTCAAAATCAGTAAAATATTGACCCATGGGGTCATTCTATTTTCCATTGTGCCTACAACCAGTTTGCTGTAGTCTTCAATTACCTTCTTCCATTAAATTACTTGCAAAATTCCTGTGAAGTTTCTTTCTTTCTTTTTTTTTTTTTTTT